CTGAGACTGACTGCAGTGACACAACCTCCCACATTTACGCGTCTGTGTTGTAGAACTTATGTTTATTGAATTTAATATAGAGCTCATTTATTACATGAACAATAAATGATAGAATTAAATAAAATAAAAACATGACACGAACTGTTATTGGAAACAGATAGGTTTTTAAGGGTTTATTTTGACGATTGCGCGGTTGTTTATTCCAGAGTTTTGGTCCAGCTACACTAACTGGTCTACAAGCAAAATATTTCTGTTTTGTTTCGAGAACATAAAACCCCTGGGCGGTCGATGATCGTGTAGAACATTGATCAGGGTTGTAAGTTAGAAGATCACATAGTTACTTTGGAGCAATACTGTTTTATATTCAGTAGAGTTTTATATTCAGCACGGACATGTATTCGGAGAAAATGTAGTTGTTTGAGAGCCTCAAATGATTAAGGTCGGATTAAGGTTTTGTGGGCCCTAGGACAAAATATTTCATGGGGCCTATTACACGGGCATCCGTCCATCCATATAAGTAAATTTGTTTGGCTACGCCTGCACATAACAGCTCCAAGCAGCACATGAAGTGTAGCTATTTTAAGTAAAAGTGTTACATAAGTGCAACTATCTCTTGTTGATTTTATCCGTACTGTACTGTAAATACTACTCAATAAAAGACACATAGCAAAGTATACGCTTATTTAGGCTTCCATACTATGAAAGTTTCTATTTATTTACCAAGAAATCCCATAAAATAAGTAATTTAGACTTTGCTTTGACCCATAGCTTATATCAGGGCTCTACTGTACTAGCAGATTATTGAGAGGAGAGCTTGGCATGTGCCCTAATCCGGTCCTGCAAATGAACTGAAGAATTTGGATTGTCAAAGAATCATTTTAGCAATGACGTTATGCTCTCGCTGAAGAGGAGCTATGGTAGCTTTTGGCAAATTTAAAAGACCATTGCGGTAGTCTAAATTTGAAAAATAAATGAAAGCATTGGCTAGTTTTAAACATGTCCAAAAAGCGCCTAATTTTCCTTATATTGAACATAGCACGAGCCTTTGGTGCTATATGGGATTCGAGGGAAAGGATTTCATTCATATAACTCCAAGTACTGTGACAGATTTCGATCTTAAAACAAATTCATCTTCGATTTCGATCTTATGTTTAACACATTTTGGTAGAGCTTGCGAACTGCCAAACACAATGAACTCTTAGTTATTGTCTTTCATCTTACTTAAAGTGTATTGAATAATTGCAATTTGACATGAATATGGCGTGACAAATGCTAACTGTTGTTAAACACACTTGAATATGCTAATAACAGGGTTTTGATCTTGCTAATAGAAGGATAACAGGGTTATGATCTTGCAACTAGAAGTGTTAGGATAAACCGTTATATGATGCAGATCTTGTAAATAGAAGGGTTAGGATAAATAGTTATATGATGCCGATCATGAATAGAAGGGTTAGGATAAACGGTTTTATGATGCAGATCTAAATCCATCTTATCTTGTAGATGTGTATATTAATGCTAATAAAGCTACTAAGCACTGGTTAATTTAATGTCAGCCTGGGGACATAATAATCCCATGTTACATAAAATGCCATCATCTGTTTCAACAAGATATATGCTGGGGTGGTTATAGAAAATCCGGGAAGAGGTGATGTATAAATATTGCCGCAGACAACATGGCATGCTTCTCCAAAATAAAAAGGTTTGACTTTTGCATCCCATTTTTATTACATGTATTATGAAAACATGGAATCCAGAGCCTTTGAATGTATTTTTGATGTATGATGATGGGTTAGTTGTATTTTACGTCCGCTTCCACCGAGGCGATACCTCTGCAGCATATTAAGGCACTTGCACAGACGATCGGGCTTAGGGGGACAAGGATTTCTATATCGCCTCTGGTGGGTTCTTAAAAGATATATTTTCTTTATGAAATCTTTACCTACAATTCTGTTTATTTCATCACCTAAAGACCACAACTATCCCTTGACTGTCATTTAGGAGCCACGGTGGCTCAGTGCGTAAGATGTTGGTTAGTTAACTGGGAGGTCCCGTGTTTGATTCATTTGTTGGCCGTGTCACTGGTGCAGGAAGGAGGTCCTGGCAAGGGACAGTGTATAGTTGTTTGGATGGGAGGAAAAACCAAGGTCCTGTGTACACATTGGTGTGCACATAAAATATCCATGACAGTAGGAATTCGATGTAAAAGTAGACTGTAGTGCCGCTGTCCGGACAAAATTTCCCTCATAGCACAAAGTATGACATATGCCCGACTTCATTAGCCCTGTCGGAGTAGAGTACTATGACATTAAACCCCATTTCATTTCATTTGATTTTGACTATCATTTGCCATAGTGGTGTTGTCTATTTTCAAGCCTGTTGGGAAACAAATCAGACCAGTTGCAGGCGACCGTTTCCATACGGAAAATTAATCTACCTGGATTAGGGGAGTAATGTTCGGGTCTGTATTACCTACCCTGAACCCTTGTAGAATCTGACTAGGCTTGTTGGAAATTCCCTGACCTGAAAAGGGACTCTCCCAATTATTATTATTATTATTACAGCATATTTATAGTGCACCCTTTCATATAACATGTTCAGGGGCACTTTACAAAGTGACAATGTAAATCACACATAAACAACAAGATTATGGGCATGTTAACGATTGTATACAGAGTCAGTTAAAAGCCTGATTAAATAAATGTGTTTTAAGTTGTTTTTTAAAAGAATACAGAGATGTACAACATCTTAAACTAAATGGTAGATTATTCCATAAAACATGTGCTTGATAACTAAAAGAGCGCTGACTATAGGAGACTAGTTGAACAGTTTTGGGCTTTAAAAGTAGTTTATCTGATGTACGTAATGTTCGGCCAGGTGTATAAAGTTCTAAAAGATCTGAGAGGTAAACAGGAGCTAAATTATTTAAACATTTAAAAGTAAGTAATAAAATCTTAAAATCAATTCGATATTTAACAGGTAACCAGTGTAAATTATATAAAACAGGAGTTATTATGATGTGATTATTATTATCAATCAATCTGTTATAGATGTCTGACATTGGTACGCATACCATGGATTTCTTAGTGATAAGAGTTGCTTGGATTTGGCATTCCGCGATAAACTCCTTGGTATTTGAATTTATCTTGTAAGAGCGAAAGGGTTAACATAGAAAACAGGAGAGGCTTTTTGCCTATTAAGATTTGAGACAGGATAAAACTTTGGAAACAATCTACAAGGTTAGAATAGTTCGATAAAGCTGTTATTTTCTATGGGCCCAGAGTTAGTTACAATCTTTCTATTGATGTAAAACTAAAGCTATTATGCATTCAAGGTAACATTTTAATGTGTTAAGTAATTCATGTCCAACATGATGATTTACTATGGACAATCATAAGAGACATAAATTATTGTTGTCCAAATATTGCATAAAAAGTGGTCCATGCCCAGTATTGACAGAACTTACATACAGAAGTCAGAGATTTTTGGGGTTAAGCTATAGAGACAGTCTATGCATAGCTGTCCCTGCTGTTCTGTGTATGTCAGTGATCTTACCAGAATTTCTCATTTCATTATCCTCACAGGGTCCTCTAGTTTCAGCAAACCATACAATTTGGAGAAAAGTAAATGGTTAGGTAGGGAGACTATTGGCATTGCTACATTTCAAACAAAAGCATTGTATAATGGTGTGATAATATGCTATCGCTAATATAATTAATGCTTCTTAAATTAACCACTTTAAGGTCAACTTCCTAGTAAGTCGTTAACCTGTCACCACTTTTCAAGCCGTCATTGACGTTAATCCCATCTATTGTTTTTGTTGATTTATTATATTGTTTAATCTTTTATGCATTGTTCATCTATCGACATGTCAGTTTTAATTACATTTACTTTTATCTTTTTATCTGATTTTCCTTATATATACTGATGTCCAAAAGAAAGTATACACACTAAAAGTATGACTAAGTATTGTTTAGATTAAAAACATTTGATAAAGCATTACTGAGTTTGTCTCTTGCGTCCAAACTCAACATTTCTAAACAAAATAAAAATGTGAAACAAATTGGCATTCTACCCAAATACCGTATACCATGGAAAAACGACTTTGGTTAATGCAGCACAAAATGCACAGTGTATACTTTCTTTTGGACATTAGTATATTACAAAATTTGTACATTGAAGGCAGTCACTAGTTAGGATCCCTTACTTAGTGCAGTAACTGGTCTGTCAGTACTGTATGACGATATATATATATTTATGTTCCGGTATATTAAAGAATTGAAGAATCATTCGAAGTCTGTTATATCCGAAGAGAGAAGTTACACTTCTAAAACAGCATCGAACTCGCAATTAACTGAGAATAGCGATGTGGCAGTACAGTGAGGAAACGTCATGAAACTACCTTACTATTACACATAGGTTACTCAATTATTGCACATTCATCGCAGCACCTCATACCAGGTCACCCAATTATATATCGCCCATACAGCTTGGCACTAAGAACACTCAACTATAGTGTGGCACTTCAGATCTTCAGCCCTACCTATCCTCAGTATCACCATTTAACATTACCTGGCCACAAAACTATCCCCCCATACAGCACAAGACCACACAACAATCCTCCATACAGCACAAGACCACACCACAATCCCCCATACATCACATCAGGTAAGATCACTATATATTCACCCCATAAAGTAAATGAAATGAAATGGGGTTTAACGTCCTACTGTTCTTTTCCTATGCTGGGCTAATGAAGACGGGCATACGCCATACAGTGTGCTATGAGGGAAATTTTACCCAGGCAGCAGCACTATCGCCTACTCTTATATTGAATTCTAACTGCCAAGGGGTCTTTTATGTGCATTCCAATGTATACACGGGACCTTGTTTATTCGTCTCAACCGAGGGACTAGACAGCTGTCCTTGTCAGGCCCCCCGTCCTGCATCACTGACAAGGGGGAACCACCACCCCATAAAGACAACCAAGACATCATAAATATATTTAATTTCTTCATTTTTATTTATTTAGCAATACTTGAAGCAAATATTACTGTTAACAACTTGTAATAATGCAGATATCATAATAAACATATATACACAGATTTACTTATTAATCATTATTCACATTGCTTTTTCTTTTACTTATATCTCATACACTCACTTATCACATAGATGGGAAAAATCAGCCTTTTTTATATTCATAATAGTCTCTGTTATATTAAGATACCTCAATAAGAACACAATCTTTGACTCACATATTATTATACATATATATAATATATATATAAACAAACAAGAAACAATTAATATCTTAACTGAAGCTTTAGATAGAAATAACTTGATTCCTCATATTAATAAAAACACATCATTAAAATCATACTGTACGGCTAGATAACAATTTTACATTCGTCCTGCCACATTCATGTGTGTTCAACATGAGTTAGCATTCATCACGTCATATTCGTGTGTCTTCTACATTTTCCCCCTTGTCAAATTTACACATTTTAAGTATCCAAAAGAAAACAGTTTGAAAACAAGAAATTCTTAAATAAAATGCCTATATGAAATCAAAGCCCAAAAGATAAGCACACTTTAAATAGTTCCTTAAAAATATGGAAATTAGAAATGGGCTTTTGCACACTCACAACAGAATATCACTTAGGCTATGGCAATTGCAAACCATTCAAATAATCAATTTATATAATTAAGTATGAAAAAAAAAAAATAGTTAAGAAAATTTTGTTACATCTTTTTTTTTTAAAATGTATATTCATAAGGTTAATGAATAAGTAAATTATGCAAATCATTATACGTGTACATTATTTATGAAGTTTATTATACGAATATAGGGCAATGCAATGTGTGCCATATGTACATAATCTTATATCCACTCATTAAAATAATTCATCTTTTATTAATAAAGACAAAGTCTTTAATACTTTCACTGTCACTGGTTTGTTATAGATTATATACAAGAATTTATAATTACATAATTATATACATTATATAAACATTACAATGACTAAATAATAATAATACTTATCCTACATACATAGCACTTCATTTAGGGAACAACCCATAGACACTCTTTTTATTTATTTAATATTATATATACTAACTTTAATTGACAAAAAATAAATATTACATCTTCATCAATTAATTAATTAATTAATTAACCTAAAAGAGGTGATACTTGGCACATTTGGTAAAAAGTTGGGAGAAATATAGTGATCAAATAAATTTAACCTATTTTCTTAGAAAGAGAATATTAGCAGGTTGTTGGTTAAAACTTTGCCAAAAATTGCAGGCCTCCTGTCTGCTGTTCTCCTGGGTTGTGTTTATTTTTAGCTGTGTGATCAGTTGAGTGGGCGGAAGGTGGGAAGAGTCTTAAAACTTCACAACCACAGTATACATATATAATATATCCTGTACATAGGTAATTTATCTATACATTAACATAGATATGAATGTTTAATGTTTAAAATAAATATAGATACATATTATATGAGAATTATACCATTTGTTTTAAATGCTGATCAATTTTAAACTAAATAATTTATAAATTTCAAATAACCTTAAAGGCAACATTATCTTTTAGATCTTGATCTTAAAGATATATCAGGGTTATTACATTTCCTGATTCAGAGTGCAAATGTATTAAAACCATATATTGTTTGGTTATAAATTTGTACCTTAGATCAAGAGCTAAACAGTTTAATAACAAGCTTTTATCACTTATATATATGATCCAGAATAAAACTTCTTAAATGGTGGATATCAATCTCTCTCCTTTGTCATTTCTATTCATAAATCCTATGTTTTAGCTATTAATAACAAATTCTAAAAGATAAGGTATCTTTAAGTAGATTTAACTGGTTACACTAAACCCGGTAATTTGAAAAAAAAAGAAAATATTTTGAAGAGCCAACATTATTTCATAAATACATGTAATATATAATGGACCGAATACTAATTTAATTATATTTAAAAATTCTGAGTGCCTTCTTGCCTTTTTAATTCTTCTTAGCCATTTTAATTCCCATTTTCTAAAAATGTGATTTTTTTTTTATGGTACACATGAACCAACAAATTCTAAAATTCCATGAACAGTGAAAGGTAATTTCTATTTATTGTTAAAAACAGTATTAGGCTAAAAGATATTCTTGAAAATTAAATTTAAAAATCATCAAAAATGTATACTAATATTTCATGCATATTTGATGATCTTAATGCCAAATGTCACAGGACAATTTAGCTGCAAATATCAGCCAATAAACACATTTATTGACAAATCCTTAATTATTATGGACTAGTAGATGGTATATTCACAGATGAGGTTTAATACTATCATGTATCTTATCATCAACATGGCCTAGAAATTGCAAGTTTGGAACAGTCCATCAAATAAACAAAATTGTGACTTATTTGAATGATCAAAACAACATTGACAGTCATTGATCAAAATCAAGTCACATGACTAGATATAAATTCCATCACATTATGTTGTTTTTGTTTCGATTGGAGAGTTAGTTTTGTGGGTGTGGTGCTAAGGCAACCACACCCTCTCTCTCCACTTCTGTTCCTGGCATCCCCTTGGTTCCATTAATACAAGCCTGTATGGCATATATGGCTAATACTAAATAGATGAATGGATTTATCCAGACCATATATGGGTGAAACTGACATTATGAGTGACACTTTCAACACTAAATGGGTGGAGCCATAATGATTATGTTTTTAACATATGGTTTAACAAGCACCATGTCATTTATGAAGATGATGAAGGCGGTAATGCTTTTTGTTGCTGAAGCTTTGCAAGTGTTTCAGGTGTGGCAGCAGCACGTAGAATACTATTTTCATACTCTAGCTGACTTATTTTCTCTACAAGTTCTTTAATTTGTTCCTTTAAAACCTCTACTTCCTCTCGAACTGCAAACATCAAATGACTTTTAACCAAATCCTGAAAAACACAAATAGATAACTACATTAATACTCTATATCTACTCATACTTGTTCTTCACTTACAAGAGGGGAGTGTGTACAGGGGCGAAGACTGGGATTTTTTTGATGAAAAGTGAATGTGGCTTAAATTAGTGTCATAGCCGTGTTTATTTGCAACACGAGTCATATGCATTAACCTAGACCAACTACATGCATATTACTAGAGGTTACGGAACAAAATAAATGAAAAATTATTTGGTCATTTCTAGAAAACCTGTAAACGAGTAACTTAATTCCTTGGTAGTGAATGGTCAGAGAACTTTTCCTATGCTCGCATGTCTGACATCAACCAATCATAAGCCAGAAATTAATTTACCCCTTACAGGTGTTCTAGACATGGCCAAACTATTTTTTTTATTGCTGAAATAGTTGTAGAATTATTGTGAAGCTGTCTGTAATCTATCACCATAAACAATTTTTTTAAAAACAACTTTCATCACTTTTGGAGGGAAAAAAGTTTGTGAATATTTTACACAAGATGATAATTACAGCAACCTGTAAGAACAACTACACGAATAAAATGAACAACTTTAAATGTATTTTTAATCTCGGGAGTAAATAAATCAAATTTTATTATGGTTCTAATCTACATTACATTAGTAGACATTCTGAAATCTGGCAAAGTTTCAGTTTTGATTTCATCAAGTAAACATAGATTATTTCTCTCAGGGGGACAAAATCAACATGTTGTACGACTACCATGAAAATACACGATCACCACAAATCTCTTGAGAAAAGTGAAATAAAACCTTTTTTTCTTATCGCCATTGTCAGAAAGTTGAATTAAATATTAATATTTTTGTACTTGGCTTTTAAAATAAGATTAACTAAAGATAAATTTGAGTGCAATCATTTAAATAATTTAAGTAATCATTGTATGGCCTGAAGAAACACATATAATGCGATTCTCACAACACAGGAAGCAAACTATATTCTGGAAGCTATGGTCATGTGATATGGGCATTATCTGCTCATTAATCATTGCCGCACATGAAAGCAATTATGGGCAATTTGCATTGGTCTACACCTACAAGGTTCTCTGGCAGAGAAAGGTAACTGGTTCATACAACCTTAGTTTTGTTTTTACTTCCTACTTCTATTAAGCAAGCCTGGAAATAAGGTTACCTGTCACAGATCAACATTGTCCAATCACAAATTCAGGTTTTGTCAGTCCCTCTGGTGCCAGTCATTTTGCCTTTATTTATGAAAACATTAGGTACAAGTTGATTAGTTCCTGATATCAGGTACAACTAAAATCATTATTCCCAGACTGGCTATTATGGATTTAAACTATCTATATGATACAAACAATCTCAGATCAGAGAAATAATATTTTGTGACATTACAAGTTGTAATGAAGTGATAGTTTTCTAGAGAAGAAAGTCTGTTTTTGTGTTTTGCCTACCTCTAGGTCGACATGGGAATCACAGTTTTGTCTACCTCTAGGTCGACATGGGAATTATATCCACGGCAAAACAACTTAATCAGAAACACCATTTTACCACAGGAAGTGTAATTAACTGATAATGTTCATAGCCATTGATTCAAGACCATGACTACTAAAATATCATTATTGAAAACAATAGATTCTGAAATTCCAATTAAATTAATTACCCTACTTATTTATTGTTTCTCTTTTTTAATTAAGGTAACTCAGTCAATTGATTCAATTAAAGTTGAACTATTGGCTTAATTATGAGAAAAGTTCATAATAATTTAATGTTTAAACATATAATTAATGACAATGTTAATAGAATTTATTTAATACTTGTGAAATAAAACATTCTAATATTGGAGTTGTATAGGATTGCATATCCCATTCTAAAGCTTTTTTTTTTTAAATCAAATCCAAAGTCTCAGAGAGAATTCTAGTTTTAACTAGAAAATTCACTTGTTTTGATCACAGTCACAAGTCTTACAGTTTGAATTTGAAATGGAAAAAAAGTCAGGAAATTTCTAGCTGGATCTGACAGAGAGAATCGTGCCTCTGGGCATTTATGAATGTGACTGACAGATTTCATAACATGTCAGCAATTGACATCATCTCTCCCTGTTGGCTGTCGATTATTCTATGGTTGTAGAGTCCATGCCAAACAGAAGTCTTCTATACAAACTGTCAACTAATCGCTACAATAACTTGAGTAGGTTTCTATTAATAACTTGATGAACTCATATAATAACCTACAGATCAATATTATATCTCAGTGTACAGGCTATATAAGGAAATGTATGCATATGAGCTGAAGACTGAGGGTGCCAAGAATGTCACAGACTTGTGGAACTCAGACAAATCTTTTTCCACAAATATGAACAATTTGAATTTCACTGACTTTAAAGAATTAAAAGATGGTCAGCCATTGCTAAATATTCTCCGAAACAAAAAGTTCAGTGGGTAGTACCTAAAGAAACTATAAAACCTGTCTGATTTTAGTCCAAATAATTGTGTTATTTCGATTACTTACATGTATAATACATGTTTTGAATTATTAAGTCAATGTCAGCTGGTTTACAAATTACAATTGTGGCTAACTGTGTGGACTGTGGAACACAAAATCGGTTATATGTCCAGACTAGATGTAAAATATTTGAACAAAGACAGATTGTGATCCCACAAAACATATCAAAATATAAAATCCTATAAAATTGAATCAAAAAGGTCTAGCCATTAAACTATAAATAATAGAAACTCCTTTAAGATACTTCCATGGGTCTTTATAAATGTTATTAATTTCTACCTCACCCAACAAGTATTATATTTCAAAATTCCGAACTTGCTCTCTTACTCACCATTTTCATTAAAATGTTTCTCAGAGTTCCTAGAATTGAAACATGCCAACTAGCTCTCCATAAAATAACAATATCAACCAGGATACTGACATAAAACCTAAACAATGCAGCGACATTCACGAGTCTTACCAACACACACCCACATTTAACGATGACCAGTTTACTCTCTACATGTGTATTGATATCCCTCCGCCTTAGCTACCAGTCAATTAACACTGCATTGATTAGTCTATGTTTTTGGGGTAGAACTGAAGAATTGACAAAAGCTAATCAACAAGATATTCTGACCAATCAATGAAGGATTTGTAAATCTAATTCATGGCGATACTGGGTTGTGTCAATGACATATTTTCAATACTAATGTAAACAAAATGCTGTCTGCCCTATTCTGATAGATTTTCTATTTGGCTGAGAAATATCATTACAACAGAATATGATTTCTAAAATCAAATAAAATTCTTCTTTTACAATATAATTTATATGTATAACTCATTCATTATTTTCTCTAATAGAAAGTGGAATAATTAATCAACACACTATAAATGGTAATAATTTACCAGATATTTAATTACAAAATTCTGTTTTGTTATTATTTATTACAACATTCTACATTTGTAGACAAAATATGTTCTAATGATAACAGTTTCAATTTATATTATTGTTTTATTTGAAATATAATTTCAACACTAAGCAATCTTTTGATCAATATATTATGTGATATTACATATAATATGACCCATTCCAGTGGCTAGACACACTTCCTTGTCAGTCATGCAGACCCCACCTCTGACAAGTAAAGAGCAAACTTGAAATATCCTCTATCAGTTTTCTAAATATAACACATATTATATTATATTATATTATCGTTTCTCAATGGCAATTTATTTCATATAAAAAGTAATGAAAGTTGAAATTACGAAATTTGATCTTAATCTAATTTTCTATTAATCTCATCATCTCTTTAAATAAATGCAATGGGAGAAAATTTATGAACTTGATTCAGAAATTAAATCTCAAGAAGTTGTTTACCGCAGTATATAAGCTGTTTTTATGTATTCACACCTGTCAGTACTCCAGGTAAAATACAGCAATAATTAGAATGTTAGAAATTCTACCAAGAAGTAAATACTGAGAAAGGGGTTTAACAAAACTGGTTCTCGGCCATTTTAAGAGTAACATATCATTTACTGTATGTGCAGTGTGATAAAGTAGAATTTTGGTAGGGCAGTGCCTTTTTCATTTACTTTTATATTCAATCTTTAAATGGTCCTTGACTACATGCCAATGGGTTAATGGGATGATTTTGGTTTATTATTTTATCCAAGCAGTACACATACTCTTTTTATTTAAATCTAGTAGGATGAAGTGAGAACTTGGGCTAAGAAAACAGGTAGGTTCTATACAGTCCACGCCAAGATTCAAACAAATAACTTATTGACTACCAAATGCTTGTTTGTTACCATACCAAGCTGAAAACAGTTGGGCAATATTTATGAGTCATTTTCTATTATAAAACTTAATAGTCTGCTAAGTCTTTGATCTTGATTCTATTCATAACAGTACTTGAATTCATACCTTATGAGTACGAGGAGGTCGGGCCAACTTTACCTGTAAACAAACCTAATATGGTAATATGTACTATAGCCACTGGTATTGTTGTATGTAAATGAATGTAAAGGATTGGTTGAGATAAAAAGACGCCAAATTGACATATTTTATTACAGGTGTATGACATACTGTCATCGATATATCATATGTAAATCTCCTTTCTGGGTGTGATTTCAGGATGTTAATAAATTAATATTTTATCTACCTAGCGTGAAATATTCTCCTTAGACAAGGATGACATTTTCCTATGAATAATTTAATCAAAATGGTGCTTAAAGGTAAAAATGTCAATCAAGTTTCTAAAATCAGTACTACTGGACACTTACTGAGGTCCCCAAATCACTAATATTGTCTATCTAGACGACTAATATAATATTTGAAAATAAGTCGATAACTTTGGCCAGACGAGTACATAATATTTATAACCATCATATAATTTTCTAGATAACCTCAAAATGACATAAGAAAATCTATAACTGTCCGTGAATCAATTGACACCCAAAAAATGACTGTTTATTAATTCTAATCTTAGAATAACTAGGTCCAAATTTCTAGTAACATATCTACATGTAATTCGTGAATAATTTGCAGGTATTATGGAGGGGTGGGGGGTTGAGGGTGAGTGCACGCCCAGTGTATTAGTCAATTTTGCTTAACAAAATCAAATTGTTAATTATTTGCTGTCAGCAATTTTGTTTTATAATTATTATTAAATTTAAGGAGTCATAACTGATTAAATCTTTTCAAGATTAATTTATAATAATTTAAAATCATAAACTACAAAGACCCTGGTCTAATTTCTTGTAAACATTATATCCAGAACAAGCTAAATTTAGTCTCATAAATTTTTAAGATCATGTCTTTTATAGACTGCAAGTAATCTACATAATTTGATACAGACGTCATTGTGACGTCAATCCAGCATTATCAATATCATTTTCTCCTTTCAATTTCAAATAACGCCATCCAAATATAAATCACAAGCAAAGAAAAACATCAGAATCAATGCTGCTGCTATTAAAATTTATTATCAATGAGGCAATAACACACAGGATATTTTACTTTGCGACAATATAAGTATTAAAACAATGGATTTGTTTGAAGATAAGTCACATCATCTCCATTGTTTTAGTTGATATAGGTCTGTATATATAAGGTTTATCTATTGTTTATTGTGTCTATATATAGACCATGGAAACAATACATGGTATTATTATCATTATGATTCAATACCAACAGTACATGTATAAGTGGATGGATGGAAAACCCAACACCTACATCATAATGATGTAATAAGGAAACATTTTCCTCAATTTCAATGGTCTAAATATAGAGATGTTCGTCGGGGTCAAATGACAAATGTTCAGATGATCTTTCAAGTTCATACCGGTGCTATTAGTATGTCAGTTAAATTATATCAGGCATACTGAACCCATAAATAATGCAAGCCTTTCTTCTCTCAAAGACAATTAACATTTAATGTCATTCTTACACTGAGAGATTAACATCCAAATGACACAAACTGGATCATTAATTGGGGACTAATACTATAGTAATATGTGATTTATTGTCATTTCAATAATTTGTTAGCAAGCATGTTAGTGGGGAAAAAACTAAAATACTCAGACAAAATCTGACAGGCGAGCTCACATAAACCCATGTGACAGCATAAAACAGTCATGTTAGAAAATCAGCCATCCACCCCACCACACACATTCTTTGTAACACACCCATTATTTGGGGGGTTTGTGAAAATTACTTGTCGTTTTTATTCCTAAAATCTGTTTCTATTTGGTGATAGATCGCAGAATTCAGATTTATACATTGTTCAAATCCTAAGTCTACTACACATCTACATGTATTTTTGTAAAACTAAAAGATAAGTTGCCAGGCAACAAAACATATGCCCACGGCAGCTAAATTGTCCGGGCAGTCAACAAGGGTTGTCGCATATTTTTACTTTCTTTCGGTAATGAAAAGATTTATAATACACTAAAATCTGATTAAGAGTAACAACTCATTAGGTAACTATCAGAAAATCATTAGAATTTGTTTGGTTTTATAAAGTTCTGCCCCATCTAACGTTTAGTATACGGAACATTTATTATCATGGATTTAGCTGTTCAAGTTATCAAAATTCATTGAAAATAAATATACTTGTTCATCTCAAGACCTTAAACTCTGTGTATCAATCTGAAGTCAATCGGATGATAACTTTAGCCTCTAGAGCATCCACAAGATATTTTGAAATAATCAAGGGCCATAACTCTGGCAGTAATTATCGGAAATCCCTGAAAATCAATAGGCTTCTTCGTCTCATGACCTCAAACACTGTGTATAAATTTAAAGTCAATCAGATATTAACTTTAGCCTCTAGAGCGTCCACAAGCAATTGTGGACGCCAGACCGACGACAATATACAACCACATTTCAATGTGGGCGTATAAATATAAATCAAATTTCTTTATGTGTGATGTGAATAAATGAGATACATTAAATGGGTTTTTGTGTTTGACATATGTCTAATTTACTTTGTGCAAGTGAAGTGTGTGTGTACACACGGTTGGAATAATTAATTCAATTTAAAACTCAGTCCAACAACCCAGGTTAAATACATGTATATAATGTATTTTTAGAAACTTAAGTTTTTTTGCTTAATCCATGCTTAACCTAAATAAAACAATTCTGCGGCAATTTTTTAAAGCTATTGCGTGTGACTAAATCAGGCAAACACAATTTTATTTGCATTGTGTAACTATAATTGTATGCGATCTTTTATAAAGAGTAGGGTGGAGTTATTAATGATTAATCACAATAGGGCAATCAGTAATCATAATACATACCATAGCTTGTTCTATTTTGTTGTCAATGGCTACTGCACTTGTCCCACTGAAAAATATAAACAAGAAACATAAGTTATGTTATTATAGATGCCATAAAAAAAACTATATGACAAATATGGTCAATAACTTATAGTAGGAGGATCGTCATTGGACAGCTGTTTAAATAAATCATTAAATGAATTATTCCTGCAAAAAAAAGTTTGAGACTAATAATCATGTTTATGTAGCTGGAATAATATAGCTGACCTACATGACCAATCAATCTTGAATTTTATTGAAACATCAATGAAATATCATTATTTCTTTTCATCTTTAGGCTTCTGATTTACGTAAGATCTAACATCTATCCGGAAAGGCTACCGTTCAGACTGATGACTGTGTTATGTACCAGACTTAGTGAGTTTTTTTTAAATAGTTCAGACTAACTTGGTCATTTTGACTAAAATATGGTACAAGCAAATCTATACCACGGCTATTTGCCTGTGTGCAGGGCTCTGGGACAGTGGGAGAACCGGGGAAATTTCTTGAGGTAAGATAGGCGACATTACTCTTTTTGTCGTGTAAAAGTGAGAGATTGAAGCATTGGCTAGATCACTCTGCCACCCACCTATGGTATCTCAACGCCAAGAAAATAACGAAGATATTTACGTTAGCAATAATAACAACACATATATTCTGAAGCAATCTGCTATTTACATGTATAAAAACAGATTGATTAAAAAATATTGTTTACACGTCAGTTCTATAACCATAATAAAAACCTGATTTTTCTAGACTTAGTAAGAAATATAACCACAAACTAACCACTGCACTATCCAGTTTCAACAAGTTCACACGGTCAAAAGTTCACTGACATCAAGCCACATGTAAACAAAAGTGACCCAGGTTTAGATTAACACTACAGACACAGACTATCAGCACTGAAAATTTCAACAGTCCTCCTATTTATTCTATAAAACAGTATTGATCAGTTAAATCTAATCCATATAAATAATGAATGAAGTACCCAAGAATAATATTATAAACAATAACATCAAGCCACAAAGATGGTTGCCTTCTCCGAAAACATATGCTGCTTAACCTCAACTCAACTGAGTAGTTCAGTTAGAACGACCTATTGATTTATAAGAGTTAACTAGCTGCCAGCGGTCAAACAGTACATTTTTTTTTCTTAGCCAATGATATTCTGATGAGTAATTTTAGGATGAGATTTACCTACATGTATTTGAATATTGATGTACATGTACTAAAATAACTTATTGCCCTATAAGTACATGGGTATATGTTTTTTTTATTCATCTACATCTTGTAAGGTTTTTTTATGCAAAAAAGTTCTCTCTTTCTATACAGGATGTATTCTTGCTATTAGTATGCCATTTTTATGGATAATTTTCCCATGATTTGATTAGAGTATGACAAATATTTTGGGTGGATCGATTTCCAAGTAGAAACTGAAAACTTTCCTCTATGTATTGTAGAAATCTATTATTTACTACCGGTATTACATTACTATGAAATCTAGATTACCAGTACATGTACTACAATTTATTTCCTAGAATCTTATTGCTTTCAAGTTTCAAATGTATTATGCACTGAATGGCAATGGTTATTCAAATATTATTTTGCTGAATTTGTTCAAATTATGACACAGATCAATTAAAGTGAGAAATCCCTGAACGAATTTAATAAATTGTCTATCCTGGACATTTTCAATAACGGTAGTTAGAGAAATATTATATCAATAATTATTTGCAACCAGACAGCAATAACAGGAATACTATATTAGACATTTCTTCAAAGAAAATTACATCATTAATCATTTGTATATGAGGTTTCTTATCTAATTACATAGAATGCACACAGAATAAATTTATCCATCACATCAGACAAAACAAAAACATTTTATCTATTTGTTCAAAATATTATGAATTTCTTTATCTAATCTGGATAAACTTGATTATAGAGGTTATAGATAACGATGTAAAATTTGATGACCTAAGTTTAGTATTATCAAACTTAAAAAATACACCGATTAGTAAAGCAGGCCTGGAATAAATAAAAAAAATAACAAAGCAAATTTCCATTCCGACTAGTATACTAAATTAGTGGAATGAATGAATGAAATGTTGTTTTATGGCACCATCAGCGCCAACCAGGCTATATATTGCACCAAACTAACCTAAACTGGGTCAGTACTAAAGACAGCATTTTAAAATTCACGCAACCTCAATCAAATCAGATGAATATCAAACCTAACAGCATCAAACATCCTGATAGAGAGCACTATGATGTCAGTATTCATTACACAAGTGAACAAACCTTGTTCTTCTAGTTCCTGCCATTATTTAACCCTTCATTATTCCTGATGGTACATGTATATTCCACAAAATGATAGTAGTAAACCCTAAATCACATGTTATACTGTACATAAAATACACACACATGAAAAAATATTAATTAAACTAATAATAGATGTCAAACATGATTAATTTGTTCATTATATCACTATGGTGAAATCTACAATTGATATGAATATTTCATTCTATATGTAGTAGTAATGGGATACTGTACACACAATAAATATTAAAGTATGTTAATAAACCGGGCAAATATTAAAATATCATTTATCAATAACGCAGGTATACCGATAGTATTAGTAACAAAGAGATCATATATACTGAATATTTTTTTTTAAAGAGAAACAACTAACCTGCAATGTTCATAACCAAATCCTACAGTTAATTGATTGTATAATGAGATGACACTACAAGCCATGTTTATAAGAGAGAATTTGAATAGCTGTTGACTAGTGGCCCTACTAACAGTAAATAACACACCACTATATCATTCTCTAGCTTTAATACCACCAAGCTATATTTAGAACACAACCTGGGACTCCATTCTCAAGGGCAAGGTCGATTAAATAAAGAAAGTATAGCAAGCCTTTGAGGCTACAGGGCGTCAAATTCAAACGAAGCCTCCGCAAAAACTGGGTGGAGTTTGTGATGCAAGCATGTCAGCGTTTGTTTATAATCTGACATGACTCATCTATTCACTGCTGTTTGCAGGAAATACTTTATGGTGTGACTTGTAAGTAAATCGTACTATACAAAAAATATTCAATGTATTTAATATAGAATGAAATAGTATTGAATAATTATATTTATTATAAAATAAAACAACTGTAAATATATTTATTATAAAATAAAAAATAATTCAATATAATTCAGTTATTAATATTATATTCATTATAAATTGTTTTTAATAACTATAATCATTTAAATAAATACATTTTAATTAGTCCATAGTAAATTAGTGCTTCAAACTTTGAATCATTATAAGTTGATAAAGGTATTCTTAATCTTTCTAGAATATCTGATACCACTTCTTGGCTGAACAGTTCACATTTCTTATCAAATTTTTGATGTACTTTTCCATTTTAAATTTTGTTAATATGTCAGGCCTTTGTTCACACAAAAAAAAAACCAATTCCTAGTAGGCATTCTGTCTCCCCATTTTGTCTAGAACCATATTATAATAAGTGAAAATGACATACCATTCAATTGAGAAAATTTATATAATACAAAATTTCAAGATCAAATGAACAGAACTGGATCTTTTATTATTTTAATAATAATAATATCTTTTTATTTAGAGCATGCTTTCATTTTCCAGAATCCCTATTGTATATTTATATTATTCTTATTCCAATAAATTAATATAAAAAATTATATACCCAATGGGAATCCTCAAAATATTCAACAATACCATCAGTAATAAATAGAATAGAAAAGAGGTTTTTTGTGTTCACATTCATTAAAATTTAACAATGAGTTCAATATGACCTGTCAGTTTCTAACCAGCCTCTAGTTCTTGTTTTGAATCAATAACATTTCTCTACAGGGAACTAGGAACAAGGAAATCACGTTTGTGCTAAATGTTTTCACCAAAAATTCAAATTTTTCCTTACAAATTGAATTAATCTATTATTTTATAAATCTGAAAGAAATGCATCGTAATGTCTTCTTTCTATCTTTATAAAGCTAACCATCTTACATAATATCATTTTTATATCATCTTTATAATTCAAACAAAGATAAGTTGCCAGGCAACAAAACATGCCGACAGCATCTAAGCCAGTCCACAAGGCAAAATCTTTAAACAGTATAATATTATTGCTGAATTTCAATAAGCTTCTTCGTTTCACTAATTTGAATCCTAATAAAAATCTAAAAGATAGGTTGCCAGGCAACGAAACATACACCCACAACAGCTAAATCGTCTGGGCAGTCAACAAGAGTTGTCGCATATTTTTACTTTTGTCAGTAATGAAACATTTACAATACACTAAAATCTGAATAACAACTCATTAAATAATTATCAGAAAATTATTAGAATTTGTTTGACCCATGGGTCATGCTAACGTTTACTATACAAAACATCATGGATTTAGATCTTCAAGTTATTAAAAATCACTGAAAATCTATATATATGTTCTTGTTCGTTGCAAGACCTTACACCCTGTGTATCGAAAAGCATATATATAGGTGTAAACATGGTGTATAAATATAAAATCAATCAGATGATAATTATGGTCTCTAAAAAGCATCCACAAGATTTTTCAAAGTGATCAGTAGCTTGAATAGAAATATAGTAATTGTTATCCATATAACTTTGTGTTTATTTTTTAATGTGCTCAATTACTAAATGCCATTCAAACAGTATGATCAGTAATTATCGGAAATTGTTAAAATAGACTTCTTCGACTCATGACCTTAAACACTGTTTATAAATTTGAAGTCAATCGGGTATTAACTTTAGCCCCTAGAGCGTCCACAACGCCAGACTGCCGGACGGGGGCGGCGACAATATACGACCACATGAAAATGTAAGGAATAATTATGTTTGAAGGACACATGTACAGCAGAAAGTAGGACATGAAACTTTGAACTTTGATGTAATTCATATTATACAATTATTTGAATTATACATTCGTACAGGTCAAGTAGGCCTGATAATCCTGATTTATAGGTACCTTAATAACTC